GTTTCTGCGTACGCAAAAACAGATACGACTGTTACTTCGCTGTCAGTCTACTGCCTACACTTTAGTCGTACAGTCAGGTGCGTGTGAGGGTATATAATGGTGGTAAATTGTTACATAGTTTGCCACCCCTCCAATTTTCTCAACGATTGTAGACGTTTGTCACAAAATCGACCCTGGACTGCAATCGCCGATTTCCGCGGATCGCGGAGAATCTCATCCCTGCATACGTTACGTAACAGCAAGCTAGGGACTCAACTACGAACGACTGCCACTGGGCCGTTGTCAGGGCGGATTCCGAGAGATTTTTGACAAAGGGCGGGTGTCCAGGAACAAATAAAAGGGCCTTTTTCCTGCTTACTTTTTTTGGTGTTTTAAAAGAGTTGTCGAAGGCACCTTAGGGGCGGGTATTGAGCGGAACCTCAAGATTTTAAAAAAAATTTGTGCATTCTGAGAGCGATCTGAGCAGATAATTTTTGATGTCTAGAATGCAAAAATCTTATCAGGATCCGGTCCCCCGGCGCTGCGGATCCCTACTAGCCTTCTAACCTCTGTGCCCTTATCTAGGTTTTAGAAACAAATTTACATATAATAGTATATATTAAGTAAGATCGTTTATCAGAAAAACTAGCGCTAAGAATGTTTTTTTATGGAGACCATATAGAGGGAAGTGTGTATGTGTGTGTGTGCGTGCGTGCGTGCGTGTGTATGCTTTTTTCCCTTTTTTGTGGTAAAAAGGGGGGGGGTCCGGACCCCCTCGACCCCCCTCTGGATCCGCCCCTGCGTGTACGTGGAATCGAACACCGAACTCGAATCCCGGTAGTACATAATTCGCGCGCGCGACCGGAAGTGTTATATTCCGGCTTGATATCAGGCATGCGCAGTTCGATTAATAGCTTCGATTAATCCCGCTCGGCGATTAGCGAGATATTTCCGCCTGTGTGAACAAGGGCACAATTATCTATCCACCGTAGTAGTACAACAGCCCACCATCTCAGCCGCCATCTCGTGGCAACTTTCATAAGCATCTGAACAGAACTGTGGATTATTATCATCTAGACTACCCTAGTATATTCTGGATTTTTACTGAACTTCTAAATGTAGTAAAAAAAATTTAATGTTGAAATTAACAGTAAAGTGGGCTAACGCTCCATTAGGAGTGTTCCCAACTTTGATATCATTAATGATTAATGATTAATGATTAATGAATAATGATTGATAATCCTAACCCTAACCCTAACCTAAATGACCTAACCTAACCTAAGTTGGGAACACTCCTAATGGAGTATCACCCGAGAAGGGGCAGAAGTAGTTCAACTACATACGAAATAGTCAAAAAGTAAAGAAAGAAAATATTTCACCAGGTGGGCCTCGAACCCAGAATCCCGGGTTTAGGAGACCAATGGATAATCTGAATCTGAGAGGTTCAGCTTCCGTTTTCCTCTACGCCGCGTAGTTCTCTAGTTGTGCGAATACACACAAAGTCAACAACTTTATATATATACTAGCGGGATACCCGGCGTTGCCAGGGGAAATCAGTGGCGTTACTCAGGTGGTGACCGCTTGGTTGAAAGGAAAATACCCAAAAACATCTATCCATGCATTCATCCATCCATCCCATCTCATCGCACCGCATCCCATCTCATGCCATCCCATGACATGCCATGCCATATGCCATCGCACCGCATGGCATGCCATGCCATGCCATCCCATCCCATGCCATCCCAAACAGTAAAAAATAATAAGAAATCAAAAGGTAAGAAATTAAATATAAAAAATAAAAATTAAAAAGTAAGAAACTAAAAATAATACATACTAAAGAGGTAGGTAAAGGGAAAAACGGAAAAATGTTGGAAAATAAGTTCCCCAGCTGGGACTCGAAGCCGGAATCCCGGTGTAGGAGACAGATGTTCTATTGATTAGGCCACTGCGCCGTTAAGGGTATACGCATGGATTCACATGTACGTGATGTTAATCTGTACGCACCGCCATCTATTGATGAATAGAATTTTTATGAAATTTTAACTTTTTTAAATTTTTGTTTTAGCCAGAACCACCTCCCAGACGTGCTGATTCTGAAAATATCTTTAGTTTTCCTCTAGGCCGCGGAGCTCTCTAGTTATGCGAGTAAGAACTAATTCGGCTGAACAACTTTATATATATATATATAGATATAGAAGATATTCTCTGCTACTACGTAAATCCATACCATATAATAAAGAGCTAATAATACATTATTATTAGGTCTTGATATAATATATATAGAAGATGCGTTTACACAATATCCTTCTATTTGCTTTTCTTCATAGGTTGAACAGCTAGGTCACACCTCATGGCTATAGCCCTGGACGTTTATTCCTTACGGAATGTCCCTGCGTTATTATCCACGTAACCGTGGGCTACGCGGTAAACTATCCAGATCAAGATCCAGAGATCCTCTTCATATCCCCTGTCTCCTCTTCCTCACTCCATTGTCTTTAGCAGAGGGTAAGAAGGGTAAGTCGGTTGCAACGTCATTTCACATTTGTTCGGGCCTGCAGGCTGCATATAGCCATAAGTGCTTTCTCGACACGTCTAATTTCTGCTATAAACCCTCACTGCTGCTGAGAGGGTCTATGTTCCCCAGGGTACTGCCGGAACGTACCCTGGTACCAGAGCATATATAAATCAACGTGATTTATATGCTCTGCTGGTACTATCTAATATGCCGGACCGTACCTCGCCTACTCCACTAACGAGTATAGGGAGTCGCCTATGCCTACTCCCTAACCCTAACCCTAACCATATCAGATAGTTACCAGGGTACGTTCCGGCAATATATACCCTGGGGGACATAGACCCTATGAGCCTTACTGCTGCTAGCCGTGGCTACCTACCTTCACTGCTGCTAGCCGTGGCTACCTACCCTCACTGATGCTAGCCGTGGCTACCTACCTTCACTGCTGCTAGCTTTGGCTACCTACCCTCACTGATGCTAGCCGTGGCTACCTACCTTCACTGCTGCTAGCCGTGGCTACCTACCCTCACTGATGCTAGCCGTGGCTACCTACCTTCACTGCTGCTAGCTTTGGCTACCTACCCTCACTGATACTAGTCGTGACGACAAACTCCCACTGCTGCTATTGACAACTTATACAAAATATATAAGTACCGTATATTGAAAATTTATAAACAATCTACACATGGTACTGATTACTGATGATCTATGATACTCAAGTTGCATAACCTACAATCCTCACTACCAATACCTGGAAATCATGCACGTGCTTGTAGGTAC